TGTAGACATTATAAAATATTTAGGAGTCTACCTCCAAAACAAACCCAGGAACTCTATGAACACAATTACAAAACACTTTTCACACAAATAAAATCAGATCTAAATAATTGGAAAAACATCAGTTGCTCATGGGTAGGCCGAGCTAATATAATAAAAATGACAATCCTACCTAAGCTAATTTACTTATTCAGTGCCATACCAATCAAACTACCAAAAAATTATTTTATAGAGTTAGAAAAATAATAACAAGATTCATTTGGAAAACAAAAGGTCCAGAATATCAAAGGAACTAATGAAAAGAAATGCAGGGGAAGGTGGCCTAGCAATTCCAGATCTTAAATTGTATTATAAAGCAGCAATCATCAAAACTGCTTGGTACTGGCTAAGAAATAGAGTGGATCAGTGGAATAGGTTAAATATGCAAGACACAGTAGTCAATGACTATAGTAATCTATTATTTGATAAACCCAAAGACCCCAGCTTCTGGGATAAGAACACTCTTTGAAAAAAACTGCTGGGAAAACTGGAAAAGAGTATGGCAGAAACTAGGCATAGACCCAAATCTCACACCATATACCAAAATAAAGTCAAAATGGGTTCATGACTTAGATATAAAGGCTGATACATAAGTAAACTGGGAGAACAAGGAATAGTTTACCTATCAGATCTATGGAGAACAGAAGAATTCATGACCAAACAGGAGATAGAGAACATTAAAAAGCAAAATGGATAATTTTGATTACATTAAATTGAAAAGTTTTTGCACAAACAAAGCCAATGCAACTAAGATTAGAAGGAAGGTAGAAAATTGGGAAAGAATTTTTACAACCAGTCTCTCTGATAAGGCCTCATTTCTAAAATATATAGAGAATTAAGACAAATTTCTAAGACTACAAGCCATTCCCCAATTGATAAATGGTCAAAGGATATGAACAGACAGTTCTCAGATGAAGAAATTAAAGCCATCTATAGTCATATGAAAAAATGCTCTAAATCATTATTGATTAGAGAAATGCAAATCAAAACAACTCTGAGGTACCACATCACACCTATCAGATTGGCCAATGTGACAAAACAGGAAAATGATAAATGTTGGAGAGGATGTGGGAAAATTGGATACATTGTTGGTGGAGTTGTGAAATGATCCAACCGTTTTGGAGAACAATTTGGAACTAGGCCCAAAGGGCTACAAAAATGTGCATACCCTTTGATCCAGCAATAGCACTTCTAGGGCTATATCCCAAAGAGATCAAACAAATGGGAAAAGGACCCACATGTACAAAAATATTCACAGCAGCTCTTTTTGTGGTGGCAAAGAATTGGAAATTGAGAGGATGCCCATCAACTGCGGAATGGCTGAGCAAGCTGTGGTATATGAATGTAATGGAATACTATTGTGCTATAAGAAATGATAAACAGGCTGACTTCAGAAAAACCTGGAGAGGCTTGTATGGTCTGATGCCAAGTGAAGTGAGCAGAACCAGGAGAAGTTTGTACACAATAACAGCCACGTTGTGCAATGACTAATATTGATAAACTTAACCCTTCTCAGCAATACAAGGATTTAAGACATCCCCAGAGGCCTCGTGATGGAAAATGCTGTCCACATTCAAAGAAAGAACCATTCAACCAAGTTGAATCGCTATCACTGTTTTTTCTCTTCTGTTGAGTTTTGTTTCCTCTTTCTAATGGTTCCTCCTATTGGTTTTAATTTTTACTTACAACTTCACTGATGTGAAAATATGTTTAATAGGAATGTAAATGTATAGCCTATATGAGATTGTGTGCTGTCTTGGAGAGGGTGGTGGGGAGGAAAGGGGAGAAAAATTTTAAACTCAAAAGCATATGGAAGTGATTGTTGATAAATCAAAATAAATTAATAAAATTAACAACAACTACAACAGAAAGAAATAGCAGACTGGCTCTTGGAGCCTCACTGAATTACCCTCAGTATATGTTAAATGGGTAGAATAACTGTTTCAGGTTTTTCATTTAATACATTGGAAAAAAAATAATTTTCTAAATGTGACCTTACCATCCTCAAAGAACGATCACATTTTCCAAGTCATTCAGTTAATGTAAAGAACTTGCGTTTCTCGAACATAATCAAGTCATATACCTAGAGGTGCTTTCAAAGTGTTTATGGAATTGAACTGAACTGAGTTGAATTGAGTGAATGACTTTTCCTGGAAGCTAGTTTTGTTTTCCCATCTTCATTACCCCCAAATCATTGAGGTTTGTTTTTTCAGGGGAACTAAGTTGGGCTTGAATTCTCCAAGAATAGAGAATGACAGCCCTACTTCTTTTTCAGGCTTTTGGAGAAGCAACCACAGCCGAACTTTTGGCTATAATTCCTTCCTTCCTTCCTTCCTTCCTTCCTTCCTTCCTTCCTTCCTTCCTTCCTTCCTTCCTTCCTTCCTTCCTACCTATCTCTTTCTCCCTCTCTTTCTCTCTTTCTCTCTTTCTCTTTCTTTCTCTCTTTCTTTTTTTTTCTTTCTTTCTTTCTTTCTTTCTTTCTTTCTTTCTTTCTTTCTTTCTTTCTCTTTCTGTTTCTTTCTCTCTCTCTCTCTCTTTCTCTTTCTTTCTTTCTTTCTTTCTTTCTTTCTTTCTTTCTTTCTTTCTTTCTTTCTTTCTTTCTTTCTTTCTTTCTTTCTTTTATTGGTGGAGCTCATAATAGAATACAGACTTATTCACAATCACTACTTGTACTCCATGTCAGTAAACTCCAGTGCCTTCTGGTTACCTCCAGTATCAAATATAAAATCCTGTGTTTGGTTTTTTGAAGCCCTTTATAACCTTGTCCCTTCTTACCTTTCTGCTTTTATTCACCTTACTCCCTTCTACATACCCTGCTATATAGTGACACTGACCTCCTTGCTGTTTCTGTCATAAGACCCTCAGTCTTCCGACTATGCATTTCACTGGCTGTTACCTATGCCTGGAAGCCATCCCTTCTTGGCTCTACCTCCTGGCTTCCCTACTCCATCAGACAAACAGCTAACATTTATTAGGTATTTACAAAGAAAGGGAAATAATAAAGCCAATTGACCAATCACCACTACCACCACTAACAACATAAAAACCTGTCTCTGCTCTCAAGGAACTCATAGTAAGGTGGAGGAGGGAACAGTCAAACAATGTGTAAATATAGACAGGATAATGTGGGGGTACACTAAGATTAAGGAGGTCTGGGAAAAGTTTCAGCTGAGACTTGAAGGAAGCCAGAGATGTGAAGAGGTAGAGGTGAGGAGGCATGGGATAAAAATAGTTGAGTCAAGACTATCCTGTAATAGGCCACTGTTACTGTCTCATCAGGGTAGGAGGGCTTTGGGAAGGGACCAGCTTAAAAGCCAAACAGAGAATTTTATATTTGAGCTTGGACAGAACAGAGAGCCATTGGAATTGAGTGAGTAGGAGATGATACGGTCAGACTTATGTTTTAGGAAGATAAATTTGATGGCTTAATGGAGAATGAATTGGAGAGGGGAAACGCTCGAGGGAGGGAGACCAGTGAGCAGGCTAGTGCAATAGCTCAGGTGTGAGCTGGTAAGGGCCTGTGCCACGGTAGTGTTATGTCGGAGGAGAGAGGTTAAGAGAGTAACAAGGTCGAAACCGACTTCTCTGTTCTTCACACTTACCTTCCATTTACTCTGGATGTTTATCTTGTTATTTATATGTTGTCTGCCCTCCTAGAATGGAACTCCCTGAAGGCAGAAATTCTGCCTTTCTTGGTATCCCCTGGTCTTTTGTCATGGTGTCTGACATTAGCTGCGTCGTGGTTGGTCAGTCGCCTCCGATGCTTTGTGGTCCCATTTGGGGTTTTCCTGACAAAGCGGTTTGTCATGTCCTTCTCTGGCACACTTTGCAGATGAGACATGGTAAGCGCTCACTAAACGCCTGATGAATAACTAATGTCCTTCAGTGTCCCGTGGTCTGTGCGCTGCACTGGCTGTCGCCCGTGCCTGGAGTGCGCGACCTCGTTCCCGCCACCATGCTGGATCCCTTTCTTTCTTCAGGACACCATTCAAGCACTGACTTCTACCAGCACCCTTCCTGTTCCCCCTCAACTGCTGGTGCCCATGGACCCCTACTGCTTTGTCTTTATATTTTATTATCCCACATGATTTTGTCCTATATATACTAATATTTGAACATTTCTTCCCTGATGGAACATAAAGGCCTTTGAAGCATGGATTTTTTCAGGTTTGTCTTTGTATCCCTCTACCTGGTATCATGCCTGGCACACAGTAGGTGTCTAATAAATGTTTGTTGATTGATTTAGGGCTGAGATGATGAAATCCTAATGGATCAAACAATCTACTAAAGTGAAGAGTGAATGTAATCTCTCACTGGAAGGAGAATCTAAGCTGATCAAATGAGGGATCTTTAAAGTTTTTTTTATAAGGGAGACTACTGACTCTAGTGGAAAGAATGCTGACTTTAGGGTCAGGGGACTCAGGCTTTAGTCTCAGCTTCAACATTTTTAGGCATTTAGGCAAGTCATTGCTTTTCTGCCCCAGTTTCCTTATCTGTAAAAGGGGTTAAAATATCTGAAGTAAATGGTACTTGAATGACTTCTAGTATTGTTGTAAAGGAGACCGTTTTGAAAATCTTAACTCATAATGTTAGTCCAGCACTGTTGGCAGTGTTTTGGATTACATACCACATTTGTGTAAATATATAGGCCAAACATTTTCTCTGCCCACTCCTGTGACCATGTGGTTTGTACTAAAATGGGATGCTACGATTGCTATTTTCTATGTATACCTAATGGCGTTTTCCTTTTAAAGCAACCTAATATTAAAGCTATGCCTTCTACTTGGCAGTGACTTTATTCAGACTAATACAGGATCTCAGGTGTTACGTAGAGGAATTTAAGTTGGAACATGTTATCGTGAATGTTTTTGTTTTGTTTTTAGATTTCTCTTTACATATGTGTAGTTTTGACTTGCATTTTATCTCTTTTTGGCTAAAACATATTTATTCCATTTGATGACCAGGTTATATACCATAAAAGAGTTCATGAATCAGAATACTTTGGAGAGGATATTATTACATCATAAATCATGAACACCAATGATTTTATAGTTCTTCCGTGGGGAAAAACTGGAAACTCTGTAAAACTAAAAACCAAGTAAGTGCATATGTTCCATTAACTGTAATTGAAATAATTATGAAAGTTTGTAGATGTCAGAATTTAAAAGTGTTTAAATATAGCTTTCAAATTTAAATGTATAATGTAACTCAAATGTTATGCATCCATAATTCCATTTTTCTCATCCACTTTCTATCCAAGTATTTCCAGATATAAATATGAATATTTCACACCTGATTCATCTATAGTCAAGAAAACTAGCAGGGAAGAAGAATAGTGTTTGGGCCCTAAAATAACTGAAGGAGAAAGTTGGATATAGACAAGAATGCTTAGCCAGTAATCTCAGCTTAGAGATGAAACAAAGCCGCCATGATGGTTTTTATGACTCTCAATAATGCTTTCTCATTCACATTGCAGAAATTACCTTAGAGAGAAATAGAGATTTAGGGAGACCTCTAAGCTGTGTGTAATAGTGGAAGGACCATTTAGCATATAGTTAGAAGATGCAAGTTCAAGCCCCAGTCCTAACACTTACTAGGGATTTGACAGTGGGCAGATTATTTCACCTCTCTGAGGTTTGACCTCCTGATCTGTGAACTGGGGATAATAATCCTTGTAGCACCTATGTCACCAGGTTGCTCTAAGGGAAGTGTTCATATGAAATACAGATATGGGCTTTTACTGTCATGTCAGATGAGGTACCTAATGCCACTGTCATCCATCCCAGCAGCAGGAAGCTGTATCCCCGAATGAGCCTAAGTTGGAGGGAGGCCCTCAGGAATAAGCTGGCTGGGAGGTTCAATGTGCTGAGGCACCACACTCCCAGAGCCTTCTGGTATTTCCAATTTCCACTGAAGTCTGCTCATCCAAAGAGGTCTCCCCCTCCAAATATCCCATGTCTTCAGGACTCCTTACGTTATTACAAAGCCTGAACTAGGACTAATATTGTTATCGTCGTTCAGTTGGTTGTGTCTGACTCTTTGTGACCCCGGATAGGGTCTTTGTAGCAAAGATACTGGAGTGTTGGCCGTTTCCCTTTCCAGTGGATTAAGGTAAATAGAGGTTACGTGACTGGCCCAGGGTCACAGAGTGAGTGTCTGAGGCCGGAAGAATTAGGAGTAGACTACCCTAGATCAGTAGCCCTAGTGAGACTTTGAGGCATTTAGTGGTCTCTCTAGACTGACAGCTTAGTCAATTCATACCTTTATAGTTTGTTATTTGAAGGTGAAGAGATGTGGGGAAAATGTTCACATTAATGTGCTAGTAGGGGAGCTTTAAACTGGTAAAGCCATTCTGGAGAAAAATTATACTCAAAAAGTTCCTAAACTATGCATACTCTTTTTATCAGCAATACCACACACACACACACACACACACACACACACACACACAAACACACGCTGGATTCCTTAATTCAGGGGCTGCCCCAGGCAGAGTATACTGCCCCCCACCCGTGCCCCTGTACCTCTTACTCCTCTGCTCCTGGCTGGGTATAGTTGAGGTTCGCTGCTGTTCCAACAGAATACTGGGTGGTTTGTACCAGCAGGAACTGTTGCAACATGGACATTTCTGAGTGGGTGCCAGAGCACCATCCTGTAGGTCAGTTTGTGGGTCCTGCTGGCGAATAGAGGGTGATGGAGAAAGGCTATGGAGTAAACTTTAGGGATGAGCATTTTCTACTGTACGTTCCTAAGGCTCTTACCTTGTTGGTCTTCTTTCCTGTCCTGTGTTGACAGCTGTAATTGCTCTGTGTCTGATGCCTAGTTCCTTTGTTGGAGGTTTTTCGAGCGTGCATGGTACCTGGAAAAAATTGTCTGGTTCTCTAGTTTGTTGGTCTATGACTCCTCTCCTTGGGCAGTATGTCTTACTACCTCTGTGCTCTGTTTCCACTGTCCCCGTGAGACTGGTGCGTATTTGTGTGAGTGTGTGCTTGATTTTTGGAGGTCATGTTTTTCTAATTACCATTCTGGTTATACTATCATAGTCATTAGTGAAGTATGGCAGTAAGTACATAAGAAATAGAAACTGAGGTCTGGTCCTTCTGGATTACTTATAGAGTTCTGTGGTAGTAGTAGTCCTGCTCTGGGGACCTGACCTGCCAAGGAGAGTAGGAGTTGGGGGAGTAGCCCCAAAGTGGGGTTTTAGTTACATCCAAGATTGGTAGGAGCAGAGAGCAAAGGATCCTGGTACACACAAGAGGAACCACAGCAAACATAGTGGGGAGGTCCCCAATAGAGGACTTACGGGTAGACATTGTCATGTCTCCTAGAATGAGGACAGATGGATGGTTTCCTGTCTGCAGTGGAGGGAGTCTGCATTGTTGAGATTATGATTCCATTGATAAACTGATACATACATCACATCAGCCCTGGAAGTGACCTTATTCATTTGTTCAGTCTAATTTGACTATTTGTTACCCTGTGGACCATTCAGTCCAAGGCATTTTCCTGGCATAGATACTGGAATGGTTTGCCATTTTCTTCTCTTGTGGATTAAGACAGAGGTTAAGTGACTTGCCCAGGTCACACAGCCAGGAGGTGTCTTAGGCCAGATTTGAACTCACATCTTCCTGACTCCAGGCCTGGTGCTTTATCCACTGAGCCACTTAACTGGCCCTGGAAGACATCTTGGAAATCTTCACCTCTACCTTGCAGTGCTACTGTTGAGAAAACTCTTGCTGAGAGACTTTAAGTGACTTATCAAAGGTCATACTGGTATACACACACCAACACACACACACACATCTCCATTACTTATTTCCATGGAATCATAATCTTAGCAATGTAGAAACTCCCTCTACCTGTACATATGTATGCATATTTTTATATGTACTTGCATATATATATACATATTATATGCATGTGTATACATATATTTACACACATATATATATATATACATAAGCACATATTACATATATGCATACATTGCTCACACATAGTCCTTCTATTACGTTAGGCAAGTAACTATGTTCAACAGATGATTTCTAGGGTGTATTTGTAGCTCTAACTCTGTTTTCCTATGATGTAAGCAACACATACACGAACGGGATATACCCAGTCAAAATATGTGTGTGTCAGTATATGAATAATACATGTAGTCACAAATACATATATGTATATATCCACATGTGATAAATACATGTAATTATATGCATACGTGTACATGTGTGGGTGACACAACTCTTATTATCAGTCCACTTGTCTGCTTCCCACTGTTTGCTGAAGAACTAGACTTATTGATTGCCGAGTATTTTGTGAGGGAGCTAACATTAGACTTCACAAGCCCCAGAACTCTTAAGAGCTATAGCTGGTAATCTGTACCCCACTGGATACTTTTTGCTCTTTTGAGAAATTTGTTATCATTACCAATTCACCAACTACCACTTAAAATAATAGCAGATATTTGTATTGCTTTACAGTTTACAGAAATGTCATATGCATTAATTGGATTATCTGTAAAACACTTTGAGGAACATGTCAGAGGGCTTATTATACCCATTGAATAGATGAATTAGAATCACTGCAGTTAAGTTACTTTCTCATATTTACATAGTTAGTGAATTGGAAGCAGAATATTAACCTATGATCCAGCTCTGAGGTTATCTCACGTCTAGTATACCACACTGGTGAATTACTCACTTCCATTTTGGGGGTGAGGAACAGTAGGTAAACACAGAAGAATAGAAGGAATAGGCAGATTTGTAGAGAAGAGAGAAATGCAGATAGTGTCGATGGTGGGAAGGCTTGTGGGCTGTTTTTATTTATAGCTTGTTATGAAGTAGAGTTGATGGGTTGCCTCAATAGATCTTAGGTCTGTTTGAGTGTGAAGTATGCCTGTTTGCATATACCTCCACTTTTGAATCATGTCTGGAAACGAAATGATGACTTCTATACCAGCAAGGAAGAAGAATGAGCAAATTTATCAATTATGGTTTCATATATATTTCTGTTTTCTAGACTAAGGACTTATTAGCTTTAAGTAAGATGTTCCACTCAGTTTGCAACAGTTAATATTAATAGGCACAAATCAAAGGGTATTTAGTTTTCCCTTGCTCGGCATTTCACAGAAGGGAGGCAGGTTTAGTGTTTGCATTTCTCCCAAGTCCTGAAAGATTTCCCTTAGCTCTTCTACCCTTTCTAGAACTTACATCTTGATCAAGCTCTGTGCTGAAATTAAACTAACAAATGCATTTTAAATAGAAGGATAAAATAAAGCTGAATTTGAGAATTTTTTGCTTTTGTATTTTTAGTCATTGTAAGTTATGGTAATGAAATAAGTAAGCCAATTTTGGTCTATATGTGATGTATTTTGTTATTTTTCTGGATATGTGTGTATGTGTTAATTTATGTATATACACATGTATATATGAACTTCAGGTAGAAACTACTAACATTTTCAACAACTAAATTAAGATTTCAGCAATTGGCATTATTCAAATATTGTCTGCATTATGCATATTGTCTGCATTGAAGAATTACTTGAAATGATGACAAGAATTATGATTAAAAGCCATTATAAATATAAAAATTTGTTGGAGGAAAGGAATTGGAATCTGTCAAATACTTTTATATTTCATTCTTTTACATTATTTTCCTAGTGCATATGAGTTTTCTGGGCACAATTCATGTATAAGAGAAAATGATTTATAATCTCCACTTTTAGCTGAGTAGTAGCAACAACAGAAGTTTAAGATTTAAATAAGCACAGCTTATAAAGGAAATATTAATAGAGTCAGCACCCCAAAGATTGAATGGCACCTTAGGGAACATTTTTTAAGGAAAGCAAAAGTACAGCCATTGTATTACCTTGAAATTTCCTATTTATTTGCAAAATTAAAGGAAAAAAAGTTAAAATATAAGCTAATAGTGTCCTATTTCAGTATTTCCCCCCCCTCCCCGTTGTTAACATTTACAATACTTTTTTTACAAGGCACATCACCACCATACATTTCAATCCTGTTTCTTCAGGAATGTGCGAGAATTGCGGGTGGAGAAAGTACAGTTAGAGCTGGAAACCCAAGAGATGGAGAAGAAACTCCAACAATTACAATCAAGCATGAGCCGGGAGAAAGAAGAAAGAGAGTAGGTGACATTTCTGGAATTCTCTCCATAAGTCTTTTATAGACTAATGCCACTCTAGCAAAATGTTTTCCTTAGGAAAATGAGGAATTTCTTGGTAATCTGGTGAACTCTGTTCCCTGAACATGCTGAAGAATAAAGACTTGATTTTATTACTTTGTGTTATCTTATCAATTCTGTATCACATTTGTTCACAGTGACTTTTCCATCTCTTTCTTCAACAGAACTGAATAGAAACACATTTATTAAACCCTTACTTGGTGCTGACCGCTGTGCTAAACCCCTGGGGATATACAGAGAAAAGGAAGACAGCCCTTGTTTTCAGGGAGCTCACATTCTAATGGAGGAGACGGAACAGAAAGGGCAATTTAGTTTTATGGCCCTGGATAGGCCAGTTTGGCAGGCAGTCAATGGTCAGATGGCAAGGCCTGCCTTGGTAACAGTGGCAGTGCAGCTGCTCCCCTGCCTTCAGTGACTTGGGACCAATGTAGTGGGGTGAAGGGTAAGGGAGGAGTCAGAACCCTGGGTTACCGCCAAGGGAGATCAGGTTGGGGCACGGGGAATTAGTATCTACTTGAGTACAGGGCGGTAGCACCTGGTTGCACTCGAGTCCTGGGGATTGGATGGAGGAGGGGAACGTCCCTGACCACATCTGCTCACTTATACTTTGATTAGTCGAACAGATGGATTCACTTGAAATTTGGATGCCATCGGACAAGAGCTTCCTCAGTTGTTTCCTTAACCCCCACCCCCACCCACAAACACCTCAGCTCTCTTTCTAGTCTCTAAGGAAGGATCCACCTGCCTGGGCCATGGCCTAGCTCAAGCAATCAGTGCATCTCTCATGCATTTTCAGTCTCTCCATATGACAAAGGGCTTTCCCTTGACCCTTCTATGCAGTTCAGCCGTCGCCCATCTCTATTATTACCTTTATTGCAGAACCTCTGCAAAAAGTTATCTATGGACTTATGCCTCTACTTTATCAAGTAATCAACAGGTATTAAGTGCCTACTATGCACAAGGTACTGGGGATGAAAATACCAGAGTAAAATAATCCCTCCTTGTAATGAGCTGACATTCTAATAAGGGAGATATCATCTCCTCCTCTGTCCATACTCCTTGTGATGCGTGCAGCTGTCTTCTTTCCTCACTACTGAAACTGCTCTTGTAATTATGGTCACCAGTAGTCTCCTTCTTGGCCAGAACCAGTGGATTTTTGTCAGTGGTTATCCTCCAATGAACTGGCATAATTAACCCTTGGATACATCCTCCTCATCTGTATCCTTCCTTTTCTCTTGGTTTCGGAGAGTACCGTACTCAGTATTTTCCTTGTACTTTTCCAATGGCTTCTCTTTCATCACTGGCTTCACATGCTAGGTCTGAGATTAACCCAAGAGTAGCCTAACCTTGCCCCTTTTCTTTCTTCACCCTCATCTTAATAATCTTATTAATTTATCTTCTCTACACAGACAGATCCCCTTAGCTGTATCTCTATCCTTGACTTCTCTTTTGAGCTGTGAACTTCTGTTACCAAATGCCTGAGGTATAACTGAATGTCGTACTGACATATAATTTGATGATGTCCTAAACCAGGGGCGGGGAACCTGAAGCCTTGAGGCCATGTGCGGCTCTCTAGGTCCTCAAGTGCAGCCTTTGATTGAATCCAAACTTCACGGAACATGAACTGGATTTTCTAGCCTGTGCCTAAACCAAAATCGACATATAGAAAGCTAGGTGGTGCAGTGAATAATGCCCTGGGCCTAAAGTCAAGATGGTGGTATTTATTTGTTTCAGTTGTGTCCAAGTCTTCATGAACCCATTTGGGGTTTTCTTGGCAGAGATACTGGAGTGGTTTGCCATTTCCTTCTCTGGCTCATTTTGCAGATGAGGAACTGAGGTAAAAAGTAAGTGTTTGGAAGTGTCTGAGGCCAGATTTGAACTCAGGAAGATGAGTTTTCCTGACTCCAGGCCTAGCACTCTGTGCACTATGGCGCCTCCTAGACACCCCAAAAGGCCAGTGGAAATCTCCAATCTCTCCCTTTTCTACCATAGCTTAGTCTGACCTTCTCATCTTCCTGTCATTGGCCGCTTCTGGGATGCTGTTTTTTTCTGGCTCAATTCTGGATATCCCCTCTCTCTCTTTCCCGCTGCCAGACCCTCAAGGTGATCTGAATTCAAATTCATCTTCAGACACTTACTAGCTGTGTGACCCTGAACAAGTCACTTAATCCCTGTTGAACTCAGTTTATCAACTGTAAAACAGGCATAAAAATAGCTCCTCGAAACTTTGTAGAGTTGTTTGTGAGGACAAATGAGATATTTATGAAGTGTTCAGGACAGTTCTTAGCACATAATGGGTACTTAATAAATGTATTTCCTTTTGCCGACTAAACTTGCTCCTAAACTTTGCCTCCTTCTTAGATTCAATACTTCTTTCAGCGGCACTACCATTTGAATTGAGTTCCAAGTCTTGGACAATTCCTTCTTTCATCTTCTCACGTCTTGTAGCTTATCCATCCCAAAGTTCTGTCAGTTTTGTCTCCGTGATATCTCTCTGCAGTAGTCTTATAATATCTCCTCTGTTCTTGCTGGCACTTCCTTAGTATAGGACCTCATTACTATCTCTGAATTATTGGCAGTAGCCTCCTAACAAGTGTTTTCAGCTCCATTCTCTTCCCCCTTCAGTCTCTCCTTCATACTAATGCATACAAATTTACCTTACTTGCATCTGTGCACATCATGTCTCTGTTGACAGAACTTCAGTGGCTCCCGATTACTTGAAGAGCTAACGTCAGAGCTCCTTCTTTGGCATTCATGATCTTGGATGATAATCTGTTTTTAGCATCCTTCGCTCCTCTCCATCTTGTCTATGATTCAGCCACTTTGAGCTACTCTCTCTTCACTAAACATGCCCAACAATTTCTTTTGCCGTGATTTTCTTTGTCCCCCTTATTTTGTCTTTCTAGAACAGGGATCTTTATTTTTTGTACCATAGACCCCTTTGGCCGTCTGATGAGGTCAACTGGACGCTTTTCAGCATAATGTTTTTGAATGCATAAAATAAAATATATAGTATTACAGGAGAAATCAATTATCTTCAAATATAATCATCAACATATTATTATTATTATTATTTTAAAGTTCCTGACCCCAGGCGATATAAGGCCTATCCCTTTCTTCTTTGCTTGTTAAATTGCTATCTGACCTCAAATGCTACCTCCCCCAAGAAACTTTGTATCCTTTTGTAATATCATTATCAGAGTAGGTGTTATATCCAGTATTAGACTGTTAGCTCCATGTGGATTAAGGCCGGAGCCTGTCTAAACTTGATTGACTTCCCAGCCCCTAGGGAGGTCCTCTTCCCATAGGAGCTATTTAATAAAGACTTATTTGATTGGATAAGGAGCCTACTTCTTTGCTGTTCATCAGTTACTTTAGGCACCTCTGAATATTCAGCTGAAAGCTTTTGGGCTTCATTGGTTTAGATCAAAGGATCTTCAGTTTGTCCTCGGGAGAGCTGCTGAATTCTCTGCTTGGAACATTATTCAGATGTTCCTAAAAACTGACATAGTGATGCCTTCCTGGAAACCTGCATAGTTTTTTTAGTGCTGAAATGTTGCATATTTTAAAAAATAATTATTTGCTTCCCAGAATGTTCATAATTTTGGATCCTGGTCAGTAAGTTTGGAAAACTCAATGATGATCCTCAGCATTTTCTATAAGATGGTGTCCATGAGGTGGTAAAATGTTCCACAATTGAAATTCTAATCTGTATTTTGCTTGTCATCTATACTTTTAAGATGACCATTATTGAAGGGGTTATATTTTCAGAATTATGGAGGATATAATGACTTTAGAAATATATCATTAATCATTTTCATTTTGTAAGTCTATTTTAGGCCCTAAACTAGATTCCCATTTCCTGGAAAAGGAAATATATATTTATTTTCACTAGCAAGAGAAATATATTTATATCTATATCTATATTAATTACATTTTTATTGTTCTTTGTGTATACAGAAGGTCAAATGGCTATCACTGGAAATCTGGACAGCCGGGTAAATTGGGTAATCAGTCACAAATGATGTCACAAAATAAAGACAATGTTGTTAAGGTAAGAATATTTTATTTGCTTTTTGGTCAGTTTGTTAGGCAATATGATTCTGACTTGTTCTGGTAGCTTGTATTCATTCACAGAGTTGAGAACTGAATGTTTTTGAAATAGTAGTATGATGTGCATTTTTAGATCTTGAATTGCTCCTCTTTTATCTCAACGTACACCTTTTTTCTTTAAATAGGACTTACATCTGTCAGCTAAGAGTTGATGGTTTTTCATTTCATTTAGTCTGGGGAAGGTTCAGCCCTGGATTAAAGCAAGTGAAGTTATGTTTTATTAGATGTTGTATATGAAGGATAAAGCTTTTGCCATTGGTATGACAAATATTAAACATTTTCAACCTTCTCTTCATGAGTAGAAATTTTTATTTCTATGGAACTTTTCTATAGAATCTATAGAATAATTCTACAAGTTTTTATATGAGTATAAATTCTATTTGAATAGTAAGTATGTTGCTTTGTGTCTTAAAAATAAAAGAAATATTTGTGAATTATTCTTATTTTTTAATTTCACAGTCATATCACAAATAACTTTAAATAAATTCAAGATTGGTTTTTATCAATTCCTGATTCCCATGACATTGTATTATTGGGAATCAGGAATTGATAAGAGTTGTTTATGGACCAGAATTGGGTACCATTGTGTTAAAGGAGAGGAGGAAATCAAAGTTTGCTTCCAGGTTTCAAGCCTAAGTAAACGAGGTGATAGTGGTAGTCCCTTAGAAGAAAGAAGGAAGTCAGAAGGAGGGTTGGTGGGGAAGATGACTCATTTCAAAAGGACAGATTATCAGAATTGGAAGAGACCTTGGAGGTGACCTAGGCCTTCTCCCTAAATAGGAATCTTCTGTACAAGGTAGAATTCAAGAGGTCCTCCAAACTTTGCTTGATGACTTCTCTGTCTCTGTCTCTCTGTTTCTCTGTCTCTCTTTGTCTCTGTCTCTCTCTCAGAAACTCAGTACTCTTTCAGGCAGCAGGCCCATCTAACTTTTGGTTAATTCTCTTTGCTTGAAGACCTCTCTGCCTCTCTGTCTCTGTCTCTGCTCTCTTTCTCTCTGTCTCTGTCTCTCTCTGTCTCTCTCTCTTTGTCACTGTCTCTCTCTCTCTCTTTCTCTCTCTCTCTTTCTCTCTCAGAAACTCACTGGTCCTTCAGGCAGCAGGCCCGTCCACCTTTTGGTTTAACTCTCATTTTGGGGAAGTTTGCTCACATTAGGACAAGAGTTCTACAGCATATAGTGGAAGGAAGTTGTTAATCTGGAAGAACTGGAATACAAAAGGCCGAACTGGATAAAGGAGAGGTATGGGAAAAGCAAGGAGGAGGTGGGAAGAGTGAGAGTGTGTATCAAGCAGTGTCTCTGGGGTGTAGAAAGCAGGAGGTTGGAAGATGAGTTATAGAAACCATTAGATCAGGGCCTCAAGGCCCCAGGTTCCCCACCACCGCATTAGATAGTGAGCTTCTTGAGAGTAAGGACTACCTTTTGCCTGTTTTTGTATTCCTAACACTCAACACTGTGCCTAGCACAGTGCTCAATAAATAAATGTGCTTAATAAATAAATAGGTTGACTGACTGACAGAAACACACAGGTGGCAGAGGAGGGGAGAATGATAGACAGTGGTTTTGTTAAGAGAAGCTCAAAGTTTAATTAAACTCAAGATTCTTGTTGGAGGGCTGCTAGGTGACACAGTGGGTAGAATGCTGGCCCTGGAATCTGGAAGACTTGAGTTCAAATCAGGCCTCAGATACTTTCTAGCTGTATAACTCTGGAGAAGTCATTAACCCTGTCTGCCCCAGTTTCCTCATCTGTAAAGTGAGCTGGAGAAGGAAATGGCAAGCCACTGCACTGTCTCTGCCAAGAAAACCCCAAATGGGATCATGGAGAGCCAGACTCAGCTCATCGGAATGTCCCTGTGCGAGGGGCCCTTGCAGTTGTGCTACGGCAGGAGGGGGGAGGGAGGTCTCTCACCCTTTCTAGTGTGAGTGCTCTGCTGGCCGGGCCAGAGTGATGGACTGGTCAGGGGACCATTCCCTGAGGCACTGGGCTGAGTGTACATTAAAGGAAAACACTGATGTAGAAATAGAGATGAGGATGGAAATCAAACTGAAGTGCGTGTGCATTTCTTTTTTTTATTAGTTTATTTTGATTTATCAACACTCACATAAGTTTTTGAGTTTAAAATTTTTCTCCCCCTCCCTCCCCAAGAAGGCACGCAATCTGATGTAGACTCTACATGCACATTCACATTAAACATATTTTCACATTAGTCATGTTGTAAGGAAGAATTAGAACCAATAGCAGGAGCCACCAGAAAGAGGAAACAAAACACAACAGAAGAAAAAAAAAGAGCAAATAGTCTGCTTCGATCTGCATTCAAACTCCCTATATGGTTCTTTCTTTGGATGTGGGTAGCATTTTTGGATGAGACCTCTGGAGATGTCTTAGATCCTTGCATTGCTGAGAAGGGCTAAGTCTATCAACATTAGTCATTGCACTACGTGGCTGTTACTGTGTACAACATTCTCCTGATTCTGCTCCCTTCACTCAGCATCAGTCCATACAAGTCTTTCCAGGTTTTTCTGAAGTCTGCCTGGTCATGATTTGTTATAGCACAATAGTATTCCATTACATTCATATACCACAGCTTGCTCAGCCATTCCGCAGTTGATGGGCATCCTCTCAATTTCCAAGTCTTTGCTACCACAAAAAGAGCTGCTATCAATGTTTTTGTACATGTGGGTCCTTTTCCCATTTGTATGATCTCTTTGGGATATAGCCCTAGAAGGTGCACGTGTATTCCTTTAAGAAAAGCAATCAGTATCTTCATTTTAAGTTGTTTTTTCTGCTTTTTATATACTTTGAAGAAACTTTTGACTATCGCTGTCTGGTACAAAAAAACAAAGTGTAGAATTGTAGAAACAACAATTTATCTATATTTGTATCTGTTTAACTCAGTTTGTGCAGATGTCCTGACCTAGCATTAAGATGTCCAAACCAAATGATCTGACCACACCCCAGTTAGGTGTGTTAACTCCATCTATCTACCTATTATGAAATTATAAAATTAATAATTTATATCACCAATAGTAGTTTTTAAAACAAGATGGGATTTGCAAGACTGGTGTTTTTATTCTTTTTAGCTTTTAATGCATACTTAGAAAGGTTCAGGATAAGAGGGTCTAGTACAAGGAGACACTTGAAGCCACAACAAGACAGGAAAGCAGCCGATTTTATTGAGGAGCCATACTTACAGTAAGAAGGTCAGTCAGGGATGATGGTGGAAACAGGTCAGGTCCTCTGAGATCCTAGGTGGAATTGATCCTGATTAGAATTCTGCCGGTGCCTCAGAGGGAACGGAGCAACCTCCCTCTCCACCCGTAACCCTTAACCAGTTGGGTAGGCTTTTATAGCATTATTACCTGGGTTTAGCAGGACATTAGGTATTGGGGGAAGGGAATTAAGAACCTGGATCTGGGGACTGGTTCTGAGTCTTGCTAGTGGAGGGAAGAGAAGTCTGTTGGGGAACTGGCAGCTAGTTTATATTCATACCCTCTGCCAATAGCAAAGGGGCTTTGGGCCATTACTGCTGGTCTTTCTCTGACAGGCTGACTCAGAAGGTTTTCAGTTTCCCATGGGCTTTTTTGTTTACCTGGATGAAGAGATTACTCCTGGGGTCTTGGCATGGCTTCATAGAATCTCAGTAGCCGAGGCTTCAGGAATGATGAACATTGAATTCCATTTCTGGAGCAAAATTGCTGATGTCTTTGAGAAAAAAAATTAGGGTCATATTGGCAAAGGAGGAAACCAAAGTTGATAAATATGTAGGAAGCACAGGCATTCATTATTCTTATATTTACATGCATAAGTTGAGCAATTAAGCATGCAAATTGAAAATTGATCGTTAGACATAAAATAAATCCGTGGGCAGATTATCCGGCTTGCTTACATGGTTTCTTCAGAAATGAATTTAAATAAGATGGCACCCTATGCAGACAGTTCAGCTAAGTTATCACATATACAATTCTCTTATTAATATCTTAGGCACTTTGAATCTTAAATACTCTCTAGGCTCATTTTGAAGTCTCTCCCCCCCACCCCCTTTTCATTTCACTTATTGCCTAACCTTAAATCTTTTTGTCAAACAAAATAAAGAATTTGGAAAGTTGCAATGGCTGAACCTTGGGAAAGACATTTGAGAGCCTAAAAATGTGTTAGGAAATGTAAAAATTTACTATACTTAGGTATCATAGACACCAGATTGACAAAGACTGATTTCTGTAGTTTTATGACATATACACACACGTATACATCTTTCTTCAGTTATATGTGGAATAACTACAGGTCTTGGTCTAGCAGGACACTTGTCATTGGGGTAAGAGAGTTAGGAGCCTCTATACTCATAGACATAGATTATTTCGGGTAACTCAATTTGCAAAAAAAAAAATCATAGAATTTGGACTTTTAGAGCCGGAACAGACCTTCGAGATACTCAGACCTCGTTACTTTTCAGATGAAGAACCTGAGGAAAAGCGATTTGCTCAAGGTCACACAGTAATGGTACAGATGGGACCAGAACCCAGGTCCAGTGACCCTGACTCCCAAGTCCCTATACCATGGAACATCCCCTAGAATCAGATTCAAAAATAATGGACACAGTGAGAAGTTACTGTATAGCATTTGAACATTTACCTAAAACCTTTTTATAGGAGACAGTTTCAGTTTGTTGTTGTTAAAATTCTAAATAGTGATTCTTAAAAATTCTTTCCAAAATTTATTTTTTATGTATCTTCTCCATTTAATTAGTAATGACTAATTATAAAACTTTGGTTTTTATATTACTATGTTTCAACAGGGAAACTTTCCATTCAAACTATTCCAAAATGTTAGCTATCTTTAATGCTTGTTTTAGTAATAATATTAATGTTACTTTTCTTGAAATAAGCCCTATGTAGTCTTCAATAATATGGTAAGAGCACATGTTTCATTAATGCAGATATCTCCAGGAAAAGTGAAATTAAAAATCCTGAAGGATGAAGTTCAAGGTAAATATTTACATTTTACTTTTTTGAACTAAAAAATGTATAAAATGTTTCTCTTTTAATTTCCACATATAATTCCCTGGTGGTCCTTAATTATGTTCTTAATTAAGAACAACAATAATATCTGAAAATATTTATATTTCTAGAGAGAAAATGCTGACCTTGGTGTCAGGAAGGCCTAGATTTCACTTGTTCTTCTGGCCACCTTCTGGCTGAGCGACCATGTCACTTCACTTCTCAGCACCTCAAAGCACCGTTCTGAGATTATAAATTGTAGGCAAGTTGCTGATTTCCATCACGAAGAGAGTTACCATGCTAGGTGTTCCCTATGTCAATGTAATCATAAACCCATACCATACCCACTCATACCCACACCCACACTCACACACACACACACACACACACACACACACACACACACACACACACACCAGCCCAACATGCACCTTGCTTTTCAGTTATAGAGAAAGATTGATGCTGTTTCTATGTACCCACAGAGAAAGCATGTGATTCACTGAGGGTCAGATGTGGAATTAAAAAAGGAAATAGTGTCAATATTTTCTGAAACTCGATTTCTTCATCTTAAATATGGTGACAATAATAGTCAAACTACCTCCTCCACAGGAGGAGCTGTGGCTAAAGTTTATTGTCAGCATTCCGGTGTGATATAAATGTGTGCTCCTGTCACTACTTTGTGACCCTCTAATCCACTAAGGTTGCTAGTACATGTTTTCTACATTTAGGAGTTGGGATTTCATTGGTGTAGGTGCTCCCCTACTGCCCTCCTGTGCATGACATAGGGGATGGTCTCCTTGGTTGCTGACACCAACAGAATTCATCACCTTCTGGTGATGAGGCTCTTGAAACTCAGCTAAACTGGCCTTTGGCTCATGGACATACAGTCTATATTCATGGAAAACTCTTCCTGCTGCTTGGTGGGACCATCCAGAGATTTCAGATCTATGACAGAGCTTTTGAGAGCTCTCTAGGCCACAGTGAGGGATTGTGGTAGGGATAGTGGAAGAGAACACATATTATTGTCCCATTTTACAGATATAAAAGGATCAGATTAGTAAAGTGGTAGGTACTAAATCACATGGCTAGACATATAATTCAGAACTTGGGTCGACTGTGACCTTACACTCTTTCTATTACATGTTGCTGCAACTGGCTTTTAATGAGATGCTTTATTCCAAAATCGATCCTAAAATGGCCAGAATTGCTCCCTGTTACTAGTTCAAACTAAAAATAAAACCAAAACTAATAACATGGTAACTTTAAAAAATAATCACATTTGAAAGTAGGTTTCATTCATTATACTTTGAGTATTTCGTAAAAATAAGGTGAGAATTAATTGGGGAGTACATTAATGATGCTATGACTTTCCCCTATCTTTATAAAAGTAGGATTTTTTCATGTGAAAGTATTTGACATTCTTTTAAAAATCTTGGACAATTGAAAGCTGGTTTAGAAGCCTAAAAATGTAGTATATTCTTTGATTAATGGAAACTAAAGGGACACCAGCAAACTGCTTTTTAATAATAATGAAAACCAAAAAGATCGTTATGAGTTTATAGAAACTCCTCAGAAAATCAAGCCAGTTCTGATCTCATTTTTTCCCTAAGTTCAGCATTTTTTTTTTTACACTTCTAGCCCTTGGGCCAGGATTCTAAGTGATATAAAACTCTTAACTTTTCTTTTGGGGGAATATTTTCAATTTCCTTGGTTCAATTTCTTACCCACAGATCTGGGGAAATTTCTCTATTAAACAAGTATAAAGATTGGTATCTCACAATATCTCACATGCAAGCATTCTGACTAACATATAAATCAAATATTTCATATTCTTCATACCGACACTAAAGAAGACTTGGTTTTATTTCAGTAAAAAAAAGTTGAATGCAAAACCCATAAACAGCTTATAGAAATACCAAGTTTAGGTGCTTTTAATCACAGGTATTGAGTTGAGACTCATGGACTAAACCCCTGAGCTCCTGAGCTGGCAGAAGAGAGCATCCTTGGCTTGAGCCCCACGTAGTCCTCGGGGCACAGTGAGGCTTCATTGCCAGGCCATGCACATACTAGGCTTTGTCCCACTGTCTTTGCTTCATCTCTCTCCTCAGCTGCTGTTCTCCTTGAATGTTCTTTGATATATATACACTATATATATATATATGTATATATATATGTATATAATATATATATATTATATATATATATATATATATATGTATGTTTTTTTAAAAAAATTTTTTTAAATTTTGGCTAGGCAATCAGGGTTAAGTGACTTGTCCAAGGTCACACAGCTAGTAAGTGTCAAGTGTCAAGTGTCAAGTTCAAATTTGAACTCAGGTCCTACTGACTCCAAGGCCAGACTGGGCCGCCTAGCTCCCCACCCCTCTTTGATATTTAAGAAATCTCCTTGGGCTCTCTTTGGGTGGGTTGTCGTGTCCTGAATTCAGCTGGCATCCTGCCTGATCCCTTGTGGCTTACTCAAACAGGTTTCTATGTTACCATCACAAAGTAGGTAACAACCATTCTTTGAAAACATTTGATACAAAGGTATAGTATGCCCCTAAGGAGATTTCTCATATCTATCATATATACACATATATATACACATGTACATAATTATATGTATGTGTGTGTATATATATATTATATGTTATATATTATATATATGTATGTACATCTGCATATCTTTACAGCTGTACATTTTATTTTGATTTGGAAAAGTTGAGATCTTTTGGAAACTAAAACTGCAAAATTACAGGATAGTTTAGCATAGAGATGATTTTGACGAAATATTAAAAATGAAAAAGAATCTATGATTCAATACATTTTTGCTCCCATATAGACTCCTTTGGTCCATTGAATCTGTTGAGAGATTTGCGTACATAAATATGTAAAGATATATGTGGTTGGTGGGTGGAGAAAAGATTAACCATAATATAACACTGTGTGAACAAGAGTTAAAAATAACAGCTATTACAGAATTAGGAAAATACCACCTAATTTACTTCATCAATAAGTGAAAAAAAATCTCATTTACAATTATTTAACTAATTTAAAATGTTCTTTCTTTTAGAAGCAGTAAAACAATCACTTAATTATAAAGTGACAAACATTTCTACCCAGGAGAAAACAAAAGGAAAGGGGAAGGTGTGTGGACAGTGTGAGAACAAATTTGCATTGCTAGTAAGTACCTTTCTTCAGGATTTTTTATTTGAATTTGGGTTGGGAAGGCACTTGCTATGGAAGTGTTCATTTTAAAAGTGATAAATGCTTAAAATTAGTTAAAACATGTTTCTTATTCAAATAATATGATATATATCTTTTTAAAGAAATGTATGTTATAGTTACTGAGTAGAATTTTAAGTTTTATTGCTGGAAATTCAAAATATTGCTATTTCAATTGCATTTATGGCATCTTAGATTTAGAACGGGATGATCATTTAGTCTACCTTTCCTTCCAATTTTCCACATGAGAAAAATGTAACTCTGAGAGATTAAATGACTTGCCTGAGAACATACAGGTAGTCAGTGACAGAGCTGAGATTTGAACCCAGGTCTTCTGACTCTATAGCCATTATTGATTCCCCTGCAGGATAGCTAAATATGCTGTGGGATATGCATTTATCATTGCGCCGGAGAAATATTATTACAATTATGTAATAACCCTTCTAGATTAGCCTCTCCAACTTGGTTGGCATTCATGGGTTTGCAGAGTGGGTCTGCTGGGGGCAGCTACTCCCATAGGTTGAAAGCATCTTTGATGGTTTTGTATTCATACAACTCATATTCACAAATCCCTGAGAGTGAGCTTTACTGTAATAGTCAGCATACTGCTGTTGAACTGCTTTTCAGTTATGTCTGACTCTCCGTGACCCCATTTGGGGTTTTCTTGGCAGAGATACTGGAGTGGTTTGTCATTTCCTTCTCCAGCTCATTTGGCAGATGAGGAAACTGAGGTAAACAGGGTTAAGTGACTTGCCCAGGGTCACACAGCTGGTAAGTGTTTGAGGCCACATTTGAACTCAAATCTTCCTGCCTCCCGGCCTAGTGCTTTATTCACTGTGACACCTAGTGTCCTAATAGTCAGCCAGGAAATACAATTGGATCAAATAAAAAGCAGTTACTATGATAATATAGTAGGAACAGAGAATGTAAAATGTTTCCCTCCTGTAAATCTGGGGTGCATCCTTTCCCAACTGCACAAAATATACATGGCATAAATCAAATTAAATCATGTCAACAAATATTAAATGCTTATTATGGGGCAGACACTGTGCTAAGCAGTAAGGATTCAAATAGAAAACTGAAAAGAAAGACATCCCCTGCCCTCGAAGAGCTTGCATTCTAATGAAGGAAGACCCCACATAAAAGGAGACTGAAAAACTTGTAGGGGCTAAGGTGGAAGGAGAGGGGGCAAGGAAAGCATATAAATGGGGCATGGTGATGAAGTTCAGATAATGAAGGAAGGCTGGTCTGGGGCTTTCCTCAAAATGAGAAGAGAAATGAACCAGTGGGAAAAGGGGGCCACAGGGCTGGCAGCAGAAGACTGCTGAGGCATCGTGGCAAAGGCCAGAGAATGAAGAGGCTGTGGGCAAAATGGGAAGAAATGTAGAGGACACTGGTGCGGAAGCACACACCTGCAGAAGACCTGTGGCCAAGATCCCCCATGCCTCCAGTTCTGTAGGACTCCAGGGTCTTTTTCCTTCTTGTGCTCATGTTGCCCTTTGGGAGCAGGGTCTTCGCTAAGCAGTTCCTTGAGCCGGGCTCCCTGGGCTCGTTCCTCACCACAATGCACCTCTTCACTTCTCTTGAATTCCTAGACTTCTCTGCTGCCAAGTCAAGTTCCTCAAAGTTGTTTCCTGCCTCAGTTGCCTTCAAGGATGGTTGGCTTTTTTTAGGGGTCCATGGCAGTAAAGCCAATCTTTGGCCACCTGATGGCGGGCTGCTTTCTTAATTCTACAAGAGGTTACTTCTTTATGCCCCGTAAAGTGTTGACAAGGGGGTGGAGGTATTGTTGTACTTGATTTTAACTTATTAATAATTAACACGTTACTGTTGTTGTCGAGTAGGTTGTGTGGGAACCAGTTCTTCCTTCTGTCACCATAAATTGAAAAAGCTTTATTTCCACATACCGAGAGATAGTTAATAGAAACAGTGCTTCACTGATCTGGGTACAGTAAATTTTATAGTTCTGTTCAAGTATAATATCTACTGATTACCTACCATGTTCATAAAAGTATTCTCAGACGTTTATATGCCCTCTCTGCCCCCAGTGAGTTTGTAGTCTAGTTGGGGAAAAGACAGCCACATCTAAAATGTTGTAAGTAAGGATGCAAAGCTATGATTCAATGCCAGATGAATGATACAAAGTGCTTTAGTAATTGAATGATAGGAGGGGGTTATTGTGGACTGCAGTGATTAAGGGAAACTGAAGCAGAAGGAACTATTAGATTAAGATCAGAAGGATTAATTGAATTTGGATAGGTAGAGAGAATGGAGGGCATAATATAGTGATTGGCCCCTAGGGCATGATTAAATGCTTGGAGATTGCTTGTAAAAGGAAAGAGAGACAGAGCATACATTAATGAGAAAAACCAAACCAAAAGAAACCATATTTGGTTGTCGGTAAATAGACCATGCTAGTTTCATTGAAATCTCCTTTTTAGAAGTAGTAAATCATATGACTGGAAGAAAAATACAGTGTGACCAGATCACAGAGGGCTTGAAATGCCGACTTAGTGAGAGCTGGAATTTACTGTGCTTGTAACAAGTATTGTTCATGGAAATAGTGTGTCACGATGGTTAACACCACTTCACCTCTGTCATTTAGAGTCAGAAGAGATTAGAAAGGGAAACCATTTTAGAGGCTATTGCAGGGCTTAGAAAATGAAGTGCTTATGACCTAGCTTGGATACTGATGGTGGGAATGGGTAGGAGGAGAGTCTAACTGCGAAAGACATAATGAAGAAAGAAACTGTAGCAGTGGCTGACTCATTGAGTTTAGACAGGAAGGAGAGAAAATTCAAAGAAAATTCAAAAAAAATGTTTATTAAAACTTTAATAATATCAACAGCAGGCTTTTCATCAACAGCAATTTGGTCACCAAGTCATGAACTCTTTGCTCTTGCCAACCCAACAGTGACATCACTATGCGTTAAAATTATGAAGGGAGCAACGATTTTTGAAAAGAGCAAAATCCCATAGATTTTGACCCGGATAATTTAGAATCTGTTATTATTGATATAGAAGCCAGACTTTAATTACCTTTCTATTTTTTAAAAAATTTGCCCAGAAAGTTAATGTTTTAAATACGATTTCAGGAACATTTTCAAAATGTAGTTTTGACTCACCATCAAGTAGTTTAGAAACATCCATTCATATCTAAATTATTAATGTGTTAATTGCATTATTTTATTGCATTGTTTTTACCTAGAATAATTGGATAGAATACATTGAGCTAATTTCAAAAGTAGATAAATTTGATTTGTTAAAACTATTAAATCTAAAATTTTACTTATTCAGTCTGCTCTTCATCAACTATCTGGAATTTGTTTTAGAATTGTTTCATTATATTCATTATAAGAAAGTTGAGAGAATGTTCAAGATAGTTACTGTCAAGGAATTGATGTGATGGTTGAAAAGGCTCACATAAACCCCCAAAAAGTAGTAGGGGATGCAGTGGAAAGACTACAGAATTGGAAGTCAAAGGTTCTGAGTTCAAGTCTTGACTGTGATCTTGGGCAAATAACTCACTGAGACTTAATTTCTTGTCTAGAAAGGTGGACTAGAAGGATGCTAAGATATGGAGCAGTGATTATGATCCTGTGGATAGGAAATGACAATCAAGCATTGTTATGAAGAAAAAATATGGATAAATGATAAATGCACGAGGGGTGAGAAGAATGAAGGACGGCCTGGAGATAAAGAGGGCTGCACTAGGATATAGAAGCCTCAGCTTCTAGTCCCACTTCTGTAGCAGTGTGATGTTGGGCAAAGCCAATTGACCAGATCTCATCTAGGGCATCAGGGTGTTGCCAGATTTAATGGCGTGCCTAGACCTTACTGGCACGAATGTAGAAAGGCACGTCGTTGTTATTGTTGTTCAGTCAAGGCTGACTCTTTGTGAGCCCATTTGGGGTTTTCTTGGCAGAGCTACAGGAGTGGTTTGCCATTTCCTTCTCTAGGTCATTTTACAGATGAGGAAACTGAGTTAAATTCAGTTAAGTGACTTGCTCAGGGTCACACAGCTAATAAGTGTCTGAGGCTGGATTTGAATTTAGGAAGATGAGTGTTCTCATCATCAATAAGCTTTTATTCCCTTATCTGTAAAATGGTAAAACAATTGTATGTAAAATACTTTGCAAATCATACAGCACTGCATTAATGTTTGTCATTAGTATTATTAAGAAAAAAGTCAGGCCAGCAACATCTGTTTGTGAGATATTCCATAACACTTGGTCAGGATGGGAAGAGCAAATTTTTCTAGAGCTAATTGAATTGAAGTGGAAGAACATTGTGCCTAGAAGAAATTATTTTTCTGTTGGTTTGCAAGAAATAAATGTGTTTTGCAAGGTATATTCAGGGAACCAGTGGTGGGTGTGCCAGAATGAAAGAGTATGCAGGAGGCAGGGTAGGGTGAGAGAGATCAGACAGGAATGGGAGCTATTGAAGGTCTTGTTCAAGGATCTTCAAGTGATTGCAGGGAACATTAATTAGCTAGCAGACATACTTTTGTAGCTGTGGTTGAGTTTTTTTTTTTTTTTAAGAGTTCTTTGATCTGAATTGGTGCCTGAGAAAGATGGTTTGTGATACTGCAGAAAGAAAGGCTAGATCAGAAGTCTTCTCAACAAATAATTAAACAACCAGTAACAAACCATTCTTAAATCAAAATGAGGCAGAAAGTCTTGATGAAGTAGGTAAAAGACTCAGTTGTGAAATATGTATGAGTGTTCTTAGAGCTCTGGTGAATGGATGATTAGGAGACTTTCATCATAATGATTGTTTTGTGATAAAGCTCTTGTTTTTAAGAAACTTCTTTTGACTTGATGCATTAAGTCCCATTACCCACATTCATAGGCAAAATTAACTTATTTGTTATTAAAATAAAAATGTCAAGTCAATAATAAGCATTTAATAAGTCCTTTCTGTGTGCCTGCTGTGCTAAGCTATCTCAAAGAATAAAAGCCAGTCCCTGCCCTCCAGTGTCGGGGGAAGTAAGAGGAAGCTACAGAAAAGGGAGCTGAGAAGGAGGGCCTCTGAGGTGGGCTAGACAATTGTAGAGTCTGCTGGGCAACCTGGAGTAGAATGAACACGTAGGTGGTCTGGGAGTTGTCCTTAAAATGGAAGATACCAGGAAGGGAACCATCCCTGCTTACTTTCTAATTGGGAAGAGAAAGAGGACCTACATAAGTATGTATAAAATAAAGTCAATGAATACAAATGCATGCAAATGAATTAAATTCAGAGTGGTCTGTGAGCCTCAGCACTAAGCAATTGAGGAGATAAGGGAAGGCTTACTGTAGAAAGTAGTGCTTGGGCTTCCCTCCTCTGGTTCCCTTGACATTGTGTGGATGCCAACGGAAACCTTATGATGCTTATTTTGGAGAACTTTGGGTCAAATCTGAGCGTGGCCACTTTTTACGTAGATAACCTACCTCTCTGGGGCTCAGTTTCTTCAACCCTAGAATGAGGGGGTTGGCCCTGATGGCCTTCAGAAGCTCCTTTTCATCAGGGGAAGTAGAGTCAATTTTTCACAACACATCTACTATGGAAATGTTTTGCATAACTGCACATGTATGGCCTGTATTGACTTGCTTAGGGTGGCTGGGGTGGAAGGAAGGGAGAAAATTTGAAACTCAAAGTTTTAAAAACATATGTTCAAAAAAAGTGTTTCCACATGCAACTGGGAAATAAGAAATACAGGAAATGAGGTACAGAAATCTATCCTGCCCTACAGGAAAATAGAAGGGGAAGGGGATAAGAGAAGGAGGGGGGAGAGATAGAAGGGAGGGCAGACTAGGGGAAGGGGTGTTCAGAATGCATGCCATCTTGGGGTGGGGGAGGGGCAAGATGGGGTGAAAATTTGGAATTCAAGATCTTGTAGTAAATGTTGAAAACTAAAAATAAATAAATTTATATTAAAAAAATAAAATAAAATTGAATTTTCACCAAAAAAGCTCCTTTTTGCTCTAAATCTATGATCTTAAGTACCATTCTCAGACAGTTTTGTGTGTGAGCTGCTTTTTTCAGAACAAAAAGCCTCAGATACTGCAAAAAAATACTACCCTGAACCTGCTTTTTGAGGTGCTCGGTTCTCAGCCACCTGCCTCTCGTTATCACCATGTAGGGGAGAGGGGTAATGGGAAGAAGCTGAAGAGTAGAGTCTAGGTGGGCAGAGCAAAAACAAAGTGTTAAATAGGATATCACAATTAGACTTCCTGTCTTGGTCCTCCCACTCTGTTCTCCTGAGTCCTCCTTATTGGTATGGTCAGTGCCTTCACCTCAGGTCTGGTCAGAGACACAGTGGGTAGGCATCATATGGTTGGCATTGCTCTTCTTTGATGTGGTACTGATGGTGTCGGCAGCAGCAGCAGCAGAAGCAGCACATTGTACTCTGTCTAAGTGAAGATACTTAGAATAAAACTGTTTACCCTATGTTCACCTTGTTCTCTTGCTGCTTGGGAATCTCTCTCAGACAAAGGCAAATTTCATCCTTACATTTTTGGACCATCTGGAAGATCCTTTGGTGTTACTTTGAGGACTACTGGTAAAAGTCAAAAGCACAGAACTTACCACATAGTAAGCATTTAATAAATGTTTGTTGACTGACCAAATAATATAGTCCAATGAGGAAAAAAACTGACAGTATTTGTGGAACAGAGCTTGAGGGAGGTTTTCAAAAAAAGAAAAAGAAAACTTACATGAATTGTTTCATAGTTTCTGCTAAGCATTCCATCATGAGTGGCACCTTGGCATGTCGGGGAAGTAATGAGAAGAAAATGAAATGATTATGTGAAATTTCACTAAGGATCATGTCTTAAAAGTATCTTTTACTGTTTTTTTTTCTCCAAGGTTTGCCTTGAATGTGGAGAAAATTATTGTTCATCCTGCTTTGCTAGAATCCATCAGAAGGGGGCACTAAAGCGCCATAGAACGACTCTTTCACAGGTTGGGATTTTTGAAACGCTTTTTATGTGTTTTTGTTTCTTTGTGAGAAATTTGAAAGCATATGTTTCATCATCTAGAAGACAGGGTATTTTTCATTAATTTCCAAAGCTCCTACAGATAATTTGCACGTATCTCCTAAAATTATTTCATTGAACACTAAATACTACTTTTCAGTTAATTTTTGTTTTAGCATGAGGCTTTACATTTTTGGTGGAATGATTGGAAATTTTAGGTAAAAATGAACAATCCTTTGATAGAGGCTACAAATGAATATAGACAGTCTTCATATTGATATTGTTTGTATTTAATTTTTGATGAATTTTCCTATTTTTATATTTGTTGAAAATCATTATTCAAGACATTTTCTTCATAAATCAACCTGTCACTTAGCTTCCTCTTTTTCTGCTTAATTCTTTTCAAAGTGGATTAATTTCTCCAGAGATCACAGTTATTTCTCAATATGCTCCTCACCAACTGCCATCAGACTGTCCTTTGGGACAAAAACCAACCAAACAAAAAAACCAGTTAAGCCAAATAAACCAGCAAAGCATCCACATCTGATCCTGTCCCATTTACTGGGGGAAAAATGGGCCTGCAATCCTGTTTCCTGGGACCAGGACTGTTAATACAGTTAACCAGATTCCAGGTGCTTTCATTCATATTATTGCAGTACTTGTATAATTTATTTTTTTAATTTTATTTTTTCTGTGTCACATCATACACATTTCCCCACATTTCTCTTAACTGTAATTAATTAATTAACCCTAGTTTCTCTTAATTGTAATGGCTTCCAGCCCAATAATATTCCATTACATTCCTATAGTACAATTATTCAATCATTACATTTTTGGGTGTGAGTTTGGTTTCAGGTTTTTTGCTATCGCAGAGGGTGCTGTAATTGACTGCAATATTTCACCAGTGCAAAGAGTCTAAGGCACTCTTAGATTACAGATCAAAGAAATGCAGATTATGTCTACTATACCACACCTGCTAGGGTAAGAAACAATAGGGTAAGAAAAAAAATGTTAATTTTAACATTTTTCTTATTTTATTTTATTTTATTTCATTTTTCAGCGAGGCAATAGGGTGAAGTCGCTTGGCCAGGGTCACACAGCTAGTAAGTGTCAAGTGTCTGAGGCCAGATTTGAACTCAGGTCTTCCTGAGTATAGGGCTAATGCTCTGTCCACTGTGTCATCTAGCTGCCCCCAAGAAAATTCTCTCACTCTCTCTCTCTCTCTCTCTCTCTCTCTCTCTCTCTCTCTCTCACACACAGCTGGGGTTAAGTGACTTGCCTAGGGTCACACAGCTAGTGTCAGGAGTCTGAGGCTGGATTTGAATTCAGGTCCTCCTGACACCAGGACCAGTACACTGCGCCACCTAGTGTCCAGGTCTGTTAATTTTTAAAATTTTTCAACAAGTTGAAGAGTTAACCTGTTAAGCATTAGGGTGGTCTAGTGGGGGAAAAAATGCTCAATCTAGTTTCAGAAAACAGGGCTTTGTATCATGGCTTTCATATTTTATAGTATGTGGTCTTTGATAAGTATTTAACTTATCTTGAATTCAGTTTCCTTACCTGTAAAATGGGCACTATGATACTTCCACCACCAGGGTTCCTGTGGGCAAAGCATTTTGTGGGCATTAAAGTAGTGTGCAAATACAAAGGATTATATAAATGTCGTACCCTAGTGGACCTGCAAACTTCTTGACATGTGTGCTCCTTTTATAAACAAAGGTCACACCCCAGCCATACCTCTCGTCCTATGTGATTCTCATTCATTTCTTGTTCTTTCATAGACCCTCTCTGGAGCATCTGCCCATGCTGGAAGCCTTGACACTTTCTGGGTATCAGTGGAGCTCACTGTTAACCTTCATTCTTACCATATTACCAGCCTTTTTCTGTTGCATGCTTTTGTGATGATACCTCTTAAGTTACTCCTCGAAGTTAAATTATTATTGGAAATAAGCTCTAGCCTCCATCCATTTCTCCATTGCCCTCTGGGTAACCCCTAGTTAGATTCCTCAGGGATATGATGTTTTAGTACTCATAATTATAGAGTATCACTGCAGAAACATTTTCATTGAAAAGATGGGTCTTTGCACATGAAACAGCTTGGGATAGTTAGAATGCCCCACACAAATCCTATCCAGTGTGCTGTCTTCTTTCTATTCCATTTTGGCTCCAACCATGGGCCATCTGCAGTGCTTTCCCCAAATACATGTACTGATGTACTGACTCAATAGACAGCCGATGGACTGGTCCACCAGCTGCACGTCCTCGTCTGACAATAGGCGTTTTCCAACCGTTCCATTTTTCCTATAAGATTTTTTGGCGGATCATTTTTGAAGAATCCCAGCTTTTTGTAGAGGAGACCCTGTAGTTTTCTTGGGACGGATATAATTAGAACACTATGATCCCTAAGTGGGGGCATCTGGGGGAACTTAGCATATTTAGCATCACATTTGAACCTCATGCAAGACATCTCCCATAAAAGTGGACAGATACCTTGGATGGACGTGTATCTCTTATGTGTTTGCCTTTCTTGGTATTAATAATCAGAGAGATCATTGAAGCAAGTTATCTCTTGTTGCTTTTATCAAACAATCTTATATGACCTGGACATATGTAAGAGAAATGCATGTTGGGAATTAGAATCTTTACGATTGAGCTTTACTCTGCCGAAGCAAATGCCTGATTTGTTCGTGGTCAACACACAGTAAATCCAGTGGGATCTTGTATTCTCCACATTTTAGTCAACTATTACAGTAAAAATGAAGTTTATGGGAGAGAATCATTTATAAAAACCGACCTCTTCCTATTTTCATTTAAAACCCTCTTTTATTAAAAAATAGAAAATAGGCATATGGACATAGATCAGGATATTTTCCTGATTTTCTTTCTGGGATATTCATATTTATCTGTGGCTTTTTCCTCACATTTTTTAAGATCATCCTTTCCCTATCATTTCTTTGAAACTGTAAAAATATAAAAGTTACATATGAATACATTTAATAATTCTGAGGTAGGAATGTTAATTTTCCTGTTCTTTATTAATGAATATGGGGGAGGGAAATAAGCCTTTCTATAGTGGCTACCCTATGTTAGGTGCCATATTAAATGCTTTTAACAAATGTTTTTTCCTGTGATCTCCACAATAATCCTGTAGGGTATTTTTATAACGTAACGTAACGTAACGTAACGTAACGTAACGTAACGTAACGTAACGTAACGTAACGTAACGTAACGTAACGTAACGTAACGTAACAACATAACAGCATAACATAACATAACATAAGTGTATGTGTGTGTGTGTGTATATATATACACAGATTATATATATATACACAGATATATATACTATAATAAAATGAGACTATTATTATCCCCAATTTATAGTTGAGGAAACTGAGGCAGGTAGAGATTAAATAACTTGTGTTAATCGCTACTCAGCTAGTAAGCATTGGAGGCCAGACTTGAATGTAGGGCTTCTTGATTTGAGTCCTAACACTATCTGTTGCACCCCTAACCAGCTACCTCTAATGAAAGCGTGTAGAATATTGGATACACAAAGATGCTTCAGTGACTTTCACTTTGTGGAATTGCCTCTTCCATTAAATTTATCTTGATTTTAGATGTGAATGGTGTATTTTACCCTTCTAGAAAAGTGGGATGATTTGGGGAACATAGATGCTATGATGAAAAGCCTTCTATTTTTATTAAACACATAATTTAATATTCATTTAACTTTATTGAGTGTTGTTATTTTTGTTGTTATTTTATTTCAGTTATTTCCCTTCAGCTCTTCCCACCTGGTGAATCTTTTTTTTTGTTATAAAGGAAGCATTTAGATCACAACTCTTACTAACTGCATTAGCATGTACCATGCGTCACTTCCATCTTCCTCTGCATTTTTCTTCAAAGAACAGACATTGCTCACAAAATAGTTAAATATATGATTGTAACTACTTAATACATTGAAAAAAACTATCATGATACGGAAAGGCAATAACATCTTGTTAGTTAATTTTTCTCACTGTTATTTTTTATTCTAAACCAACATTTCAGTCCGGTTGTAGTCATTCTGAAATCAGTAAAATGTGTCAGTGTTAATTTTTGCTACCAGAGGCCACCTCCAGAGCCCAATTCGGAGACTTCACTGGAACACAGTCTGAAAAATGTTCTAATGCTGACACTTATGAAATGGTCCATGGATATCTTTTGAATAAATGAAGTCAGAGCCAATATGGCATTTTGACCAATTCTAGGAAAATGAGTTTAGTTCAAATAAAAGAAAACTGCCCTAGGACACTTAGCAAAGTATCTTGGATATATGAGAGGGAGAAAATGTTTGAGAAACTATTGGCAGCAACCAGGAAAGAAGAGGACTGTACTTAGAAGATAGTTCAAATAATAATAAGAATACAATGATCACAGAATCTTAGGATTTGGGAGTCTATGCAACCAGGTCGTTGCATAGAAAGTATCCAAGCACTTCACGAAATTCATGAAGTATTCAATTTAATAAAATTTGTTGTTTAGTTGTTTCAGTGTGTTCAACTCTTCATGACCCAATCTGGGGTTTTCTTGGCAAAAATACTGGAATGGTTTGCCATTTCCTTTGCCAATTCATTTTACAGATGAGGAAATTGAGGCAAACAGGATTAGTGACTTGCCCAGGGTCACACAGCTAGCAAGTATCTGAGGCTGGATTTGAACCCAGGTCTTGCTTACTGTAGGCCTATTGCTCTATCTCTACTGTGCCATGTAGCAGCCCTATTTAATAAAATTATAGAACAACCAAATTGAGTCTTTTTTTTTGTTATAATGAGAATGACTTGTATACTTTTTTAAAAGAAGGGGTGTTGTATATTATTTAGGAGATTCATGGTTTGAGATGCTGTCTACTTTTCTTGAAAAATTTTGGGAGCAGAGATGAGAAGGATAAATTAGATTTTTTTTCTTTTGCATTTGGAAAATGGGAGGTAGGCAGCACTTAGAATC